CTAATAGTAGTCTACGTTTACACCAAACACGTTTTATCAAGACGGTTCTACGACGTTTTGGTATGACTGGGAGTAATGGTGTATCCACCCCGATGGAAACCGGTCGAAGATTGCTCTCTGCAAAGGAAGCAGATGAGTTGGTGGAACCAGGCGAGTATCAATCCCTAATAGTCTTTGGTTTCCTTGTCTTTGACCGAGGCTGAGTATATAGGTTATTCAGAGGCTTCACATGAAGCTATCTGGCTTCGACGACTTTATCACGAAATCTCTCAGACGAAACCAGGACCCCAGCTACTCAACTGTGATAACCAAGGAGCAATTAAGCTCAGCGAAAACCCAAGATTCCACGAACGCACCAAGCATATCAACATTAAGTATCACTACGTATGAGAATGCATCGAGCAAGAATTAGTCAAACTTAGATATGTACCTTCAAACGATATGACGGCTGATATTATGACGAAACCCTTACCTTGCGATACTCACCAAAGCCATGTCCAGAGTCTGGGCCTACAAGTACTAGATTGAGAAGGAAATGCTAGGATAGGATGGTAATGAAGAGATATTCGTTAATATCATGGGTTATTATTTTTTCTTTCATTGGTTACTATTGATTTATTTCCTATCTTTCCTTTTTCATGTATGGGACACTCTTTTTCCTACCACAGATTCTGGAAGGTTTTTTAACGAGGTCGCCGATGTTCTTTATGTCTTTCCTTATGGTTATCAGGAAGGGTGGGAGTGTTGTAAAGAATGGCTGGTATGCTTCCGGATAACCTTTGGAATGGAATGTATGGATTTGGAGTCGGGCAGACTGGCTGGAATGAAGTAGGAGGAATGGAATGGATCTGATGGAATGGAATGGATCTGATGGAATGGAGTGGACTGGACGGAATGTCGTGGGATGGCTAGAATGGGTAGATTGAGTGGTTGGAACGGATATCTATGAGGCTGGAAATACTTAGTATAAAGAATAGTAGTCTACCTGTGATCTAAGGTAGACAAGAAGAAAAATACACAAGATCATAACAACGAAAAATTGAGTTACGTTCGATCACTCAAACACTTTCACTTTTCTTACAACTCACGATTCCAAACATTATTTATTTATTCTATCATACTTTTATTTGCTTTTTACTATAATATCTGGGAGTTTGTGAAACGAGTGATGTGCTATGAATCTGGATGTTGCTGGGACTACCTCTAACTAACTCCCGATAAGGTGGCCCTGGACATGTCTGAGACTCAGGAATACTCAGTCTGTCCAGCCTTAGCTAGCGGCGGGAGAGAGTTCAGTCAGTGGTGAAAGGCAATTGAGTACCCACTTGGTATTCCGGCTCCCTGCCTCCGGAAAACAGCATTTTACTTGCAATATTTGCCGGTATGAAGTTGGTTTTTGAATACTCCAGGTGCCTCGGATGTTGTGGTACTTGGAGATTTTGAATTATATCTGTTATCTCGGAATATGTATTAGCTAACCTATTGTTTTAGCTGTTTTTCCTCCAATTTCGTGGCCATGCAATAATCGGTTTCTTTGAGAAATGCCAAAATTTCATTACGTTCTGGTTGCCTTGTACACATACGCACATGAAGTATGGCATAGGTATGAAGGGCATTCCGCGTATGACACGTGGTCATAGTACAAAAGAGAGGACTGTTGCGTAGGAGCAACGAGCCAGCCCGTCCAAGTCGTCATGTAAACAACTTTGTTTACCCAAGGTACGAAGGCATTGAGCGACGTACTAGCTGCCGTGGAGCTTCGTAGGCACCCATCTTGCACCCATCTTGCCCCCTACTTAAACCTCTTGTTCCCCGCCCCCTCCTTTTTTTTCTTCCTTCCTTCTACATCACAAGTATCACTTTTCTACTTTTTCTTTTTCAAAAATGCTTTTTTTAACACTTTCTTCCGCCCCCGAGCGAGCCCTCGGGTGGCCTGTTTTTTCTTTCTTCTTTCTTTTCTTTTTCACCACGATCGTATTGGGCCTTATGGGTTCAGCGATTGTGGTTATTTCCCGTGGCGTGGGAGACCTCCTTCGGGAGGTTTGTTTATTGTTTGGTGTCCGGAGTGGTTTGTTGCTTCTATGTAGTGCTTTTAGAGTTAAAATCTGGTTAAGGTATGCTGATGATAATGAATATAGATCCGGATAGTACTTCGAGCGGTGTGGCCCGCCAATACGCTCGGGTTCGCTCGGGCACTACACCGCCGGTACTAAGGTGGTGGCTCGACCATGGGCCATACCTCGCCGACGGCCCCTTAGAGTCTCCGGACTCTGAGGAATATCTTAAGACGTGCGATGGCGAGGAAGCCACCGTCTTACAAGACCCCGAGGAGTTATCCGGGGGGTATATCTTGGATGCGTCGCCGGCATCCGAGGTATGTTCTCCGGACCTGACCCTCGCATTCACCCTTCTCTCCGCGATCGAGGAGTCAACAGAGGGGTATGATTCAGATGCCGAGTCATCGGCATTTGAGGAGTACCCTGTTGGCTGGGAGAAGTGGTATACTCGGCACCCCCTTTCCCCCCTTCCCCCCCTTCCCTCTTCTGCCCCCTTCCCTCCTGTTCCCTCCCCCATCGTTCCTTCGCCCGCCGTTTCTTGTCTTTCCCCTTCCCTGTCCCCTTCCCCTTCCCCTTCCCTTCCCCTTCCCCTTTCCTCTCCCGCCTCGTCTCCTTCCCCCTCTTCTCCTTCCCTCTCTTCCCCTGCCCCCTCTTCCCCTCCCCTCCCCCTTTCCGCCCCACCGTCTCCTTCCCCCTCCTCTTCTTCCGCTTCCTCCGTTCCCCCTGCCTCGTCCCTCTCTGCAGCGATTGAGTCCTGCGAGGAGTTCGTATCGGGGTACGATTCAGATGCCGAGTCATCGGCATTCGAAGAGTACCCCGTTGGCTGGGAGAAATGGTGTGTTCGGCCTCCCGTTCCCCCTCCTCCCCCTTCCTATGCTTCCTACCCTGATGGCTTGATCTATTGAAAGCTGTGGGAAGGTTGCCGGGTAGGTTTATGAGACATGCCTGGTGAGGAATCCGGTGTCTCTGGGAGATGGTTGGGATGGTGGAAATCGAGGTAAGATAAATTCTCATAACAATCAAGTTAAGCAATACCGTGCGCTGACTATTCTATCTAGGCACGCCTGGTGAGGAATCCGGTGCCTTCGGGTAATAAGTGGTTGAGGTAAGATAATATATCGTTAATTCACATAGGAGCAAATGCTAACAAATGTTTTCAGTTGGGGATCCTCGGTTTAGTATCGTTGTCCGGGGATCGGAGCTATCCCTTTGTTTTCCTTGCGATTTTTATGATGTGAGGCTAACTTTGGTTTTTTTAGGTACCTCAGCTTGGATTGACACCTTGACGTGGTGCTGAGGCTTCTCACCAAGATCAGTCCAATTCATGTACAGTAGACAGAGAAGAGTGTTTGTGATATGAAGTGCAATAAAGATGTAATTCCTTTGCATCAATCACGATTTTGGACTTGTTTGTTTCTTGGGTGCCCAAACTTTACATAACTCACAATCTCACACATGACAACACATCCGCAGACAATATCCAAGAGCGGGAGTTAGTTTTTTTTTTTCTTCACCTTCCAGGCTTCGGTGAATTGGGCCTCCTGAGAAAATTACGGTTGGAACTACAAGATTTCTTAAACTATGGCAATTCTTATTGTAAAAATTTAATAGATGAATTAGCCTGATAAAAAATAAAATAAAATAAAAAGCAACCGTGCTAAAGCCAACTTACGCCTACATTCAGAGTTTTTTTTCTTACCCTTTTTCCCTAGTGTGTAGGGTCTTAGAAATCCTTTGATAAAACCTAATTTGTGGCAGTATGATACCTGAGTACACCACTTTAGGTATGATAAGTAGTTAGACCATAACTAACCAAAAGTAAACTTGGATAAAAATAAATTGCCAGTTTCTAAAAACAAAACAAAATTGATAACCATGCATACCGGGTAAAACTAACTGCTATCATAAGAACATAACTAATTCCTGGCAACTCCATCTCCATCATTCTTCGTCAGCTTAATACTTGCTGTAGGAAGCCTCCAGAGTCCAGACCCACACATGGCAACCCGGTAGCACATGTTTCACATCCGAGTGACCGAATATGCTGCCAATAGCCGGGCACTGCCAAGACCTACAGTAAAACCGGGTAACACCCGGGGGCACTCTTATTCCAACGTCACCCAAGAACCCCCGGCCAGATCCCACCCACCCCCACCAGAATCCTTAACCATCCACTCACCACGCGCAACAAGCATGGGAAAATCCAAAACAGACACCAAATCCAACAACAAATCCAGCAACTCCAAAGACAAGTCCAAAGGTGCCTCCTCCTCCTCCTCGTCCAAGACCGCCGCGAAGGGTGATAGTAAATCCGACAAGCCCAAGGCCGCAAACTCCATAAACGTCCGTCACATCCTCTGCGAGAAGCACAGCAAGATGGAAACCGTCCTGGAACGGCTCGCAAACGGCGAGAAATTCGACGCCGTTGCCAGGGAGCTTAGCGAAGACAAGGCACGTCAGGGAGGATCTTTGGGGTGGAAGACCCGCGGGTCTCTGCTCAAGGCGTTTGAGGATGCTGCGTATGCCCTCGCGGTGTCTACGGTTGATAGGCCGATTTATACAAATCCTGCGGTGAAGACTAGCGAAGGGTGGGTTCCACGTGTGGTGTGTTGGGGTGTGTTGGGTGTGTTGTGCTGACTGTCTGCTTGCTGGTTAGGTATCATTGTGAGTTTTGGAGGCGGTTTTCGGTACGATTGGGTGATGGGTAGGCGATTACTGACGAATATAATAGGTATAATGGTTGAAGGTCGCAAGTGATTAAGGGAGGGCGTGGAGATGTGGATTTCTCTCAGCTTTGTTGGGCGTCTAGGGTATTTGGGTATCAATAGTTTTTCAACTGCCGATAAAGGTCTTTGCGATTGAATAGTTGTCTTTCCAAAAGCAATAGCACACATCAAGCATTGCTGATTGTGTTACGGTGTAAACATAATTACCGTTTACAGTGTTTCATATCTCCAGGCATTAGCACTCTGCGCCTGGACGCTGCGGTAATTGGTACCCATTATTATTGCCTATGTAGATAAAACAAAAAAACCATGGAGGCAAAAGAGTTCAGCATCCGGGATTCCCACATGGTCACCCACTGTAGTACTAACCGGACGATACGATGCTTGTTTACCGCAGAGCGGACGGGATGCGAAATTTTCATCGTTCTATGGCCGAACACAACAAAATGACATTTTTTAAATTGATAATCAACGACAGCAATAGTTATAGCCACCTCGTGGGTTGTTGTAACACAGCCAAAAGCTATGTCCAGGCTGAGGCCATTCTTAATATTGAGGCACAGATTGAGTGCTGGAAAAAATAAAAAATCGGAGTATGGCAACGGCAGCCACATATTTCGAGTACTTTCGCGCCCGAGTGAATGACCTCTAGATCTTGAAGGTGATTCATGCGGTACTCGTACTGCCCAGCTTGGCTTCGTTGTGGTTCGTTAATTGCGATGTATGATTCGTTGATATGATTCCTTCGCTGCGATTTGCTTCCGTCATTTCGTTGTGATACCTGTTGGAAAGTATCACGGGAGGCGAGCACGACAGTGATTGCAGAAGTGAATACTTGATTGATTGTTATAGTTTTAAAGAATAAGTTGAGAGAGACAAGAAGAGGGAACGGAAGAGGAAACTTAAGTAACGGGACTAGGAGGCAAACACAGGAGGGTAACCTTGTAGTAACATGACACAGAATGATTACATAATCATTCCAGGTTAGACGTGCAACCATTATTTCTAAGACCTCTCACCCACTCAGAAGCCCAGCATGAAGGAAAGAAAAAAAGAGGAAACAGCCCAGTTGTCTTACCCTGAATGTCATCGAGCACCAGTAAAACCCCCAATCCATGAGTGTCTCAAGGGGGAAGGTATACTCTCAGTTTCTCCTGATCATCATATCATATCATGATAGCTATAGTGACAAGAATTGAGTGGAGAATTGAGGGTCCTGTAGCTGTAACTAGAAGGGAAAGATAAAGAGAAGAAGAAAAAACTTATTTTGGAAAGCCTAGTATAGTGAGAAACTGACAGTGGAGCATGTTAGGGAGAGCCTTAGTAAGGCCATCTGGAGTGTTCTGATTCCCAGGAGTAAAGGCAAACTGGACGATGCCGGCTTGCTGGACTTCACAAGATTTGAAGAGACAGATATCGAAGTGCTTGTTTCATGCTGTGACTCCTTCTGATGCAACTGTTTGTAGTGCCTTTTCACTATGGGAGTAAATAATAGTTGGTTTCGAGAGGGTCATCGAATATCCTGGCTGTGTCTGGATAGCTGGTAGGGGAGATGGAGTTTTAGGTTTCAGAGAAGAGGGATGGAGCCTATCCTCATCCCACTTCAAGTTGGCAAGAACCTGATGGAGCCATAAGACCTCCTTGACTGCCTTGAGAAAGGCAGAGTACTCCGATTCAAGAGTCGAAGTTGCTATAATACTTTGCCACTTCAACTACCAAGATATTGGTGCTCCAAGTAGAAATACGAATACCCCAACAAACCTCCAAGACTGTATATCAGTGGCCCAGTCTGCATCAGTAAACCCAATGAGGGTAGGTTGAGTTGAGCTACTGGGATAGCAAAGGCTGGGAGCTTTTGACTGCTTTAGGTAATGGAGTACCCAGTTGACAGCTGTCTGATGCACTGTGTGGGGGTTCGAGCTGTAGCTACTAAGCGCAGAGACAGCGTATGTGATATCTGGTCTGGTGCCAAGCGAAATGTACATTAAGGCTCCGACCTTCTGAAGGTAGGTGTGCTGGTCAACAGCCTTGTCATTGCGAAACTCTGATAGGTGAACACTCTTATTTAATGGAGTAGACACTCCATTGGCTCGCTCCATACCAAATCTTTTTAGAATTGCATCGATATAGCATTACTGAGAAACAGAGAATGAACTATCCAGGTGCCACTCAATTTCGAGGCTGAGGAAGTGCTTTACTGGCCCTAGGTCAGACATTCGGTAGGTCTCATTCAGACATCTCTTGATTTCTTCTGCAATGACAGAGTCCTCATATGCCATTAGCATGTCATCGACATATAGGATTAGATAGAAGTTTCAGCAGATGTAGAGATTTAGTTCTGCAGTGGATGTTGAGAACCCCATGGAGATAAGCAGTGGGTCAATTGCCTTGTACCATAGGCACAGAGCCTGCTTAAGGCCATAGAGGGCCTTTTGCAGTAGTACAGTGGTATAGGGTATATCTGACCTGATTTCTGCAAATCCTGTGGGAAGCTGTATGAGGATATCTTCCCTGTCGATCTTGGGGTTCAGGAAGGCCGTGATGATATCTACATGATCTACATACCATTTGCGGAGTATGGCAGTGGCTAAGAGAATGCGTAGTGTTGGGAGACAGCTCACTGGGGCATAGGTTGCATCATGGTCGGACTGTGACATTATTCATACCCCTTGATGACCAGTCTTGCCTTGTAGTGGTATGTGTTGTCTGGATTGAGCTTGACCCTAAATACCCACTTTGAACCAATTGGTATACCTGAGGGTGAGGTTGATGTTCCTGTGGATCCTTCCAGGACTCCGATCCAGGTTTTGTTCTCAATCACGGTACTGATCTTGGCTTTAATTGCCTCCTTCCATTCTGAGGACTCTGCTGAGCTCATGGCCTCATTAAAAGAATTGGGATTATGTAGTCCAACCCCATTAAGTATTGAATTTACTTGAAGAGTGAGTACTGATCCAACTTCCGCATTCGAAAGGTATTTTGCTGCCTGCTCTTGCACTATCCGATCGTGAACACTCTTCCAGATATTGTAGTTCCAACAGTCTTTCAGCTTCCTCCTTGGCCCATCAAGTATTACAGGCTCCTCTACCATCTGTTCCATCATGGGAGCCTCGTTCACAGTAGCTTCCATGTGTTGTGACCCCATGTTCTGCCCAAGAAGCGATTCCTCAGCCTCAGCTTCTTCCATATTCTTGTCCTCACCACCTGCTGCTAATAGGCCTGTCAGAACTATTCATACTAGATAAAAGCAGATACAAATTGTGAATCAAGGATGTGAGAAGTGAAGCAAAGCATCTTACTGCGATCAAGAGACTGAGCCCAGACAGAGAGAGAGAAACAGGTCTTACTGCGATCAAAAGACTGAGCCCAGACAGAGAGAGAGAGACAGGTCTTACTGCGATCAAAAGACTGAGCCCAGACAGAGAGAGAGAGACAGGTCTTACTGCGATCAAAAGACAGAGCTCAGACAGAGAGAGAGAGATAGGGCTTACTGCGATCAAAAGACCAAGCCCAGAAGGAGAGAGAGAGACATGAACAGAGACAAGAGACACAGAGAGAAGAAAAAAGGGGAAAACCTATCTTCTGAAAAAGGAAGAAACCTTGCCACTGACTTTGATGGTCAGATGTGTAATCATCACAATGTTCTACACAACTAGCTGCTTCTGTGTTCGTAGGCGAGTCACCTCTGGGATCCAAGGTGAAGGGATCTGTTAGGCACATGGAAAAAAGGGCCAAAGTTACCCGACCTTTACACAGGATTATTTCTACCATATCCCTGCAGCCCCCATGTAGGGACCAGCCATCATCATGGTATTACGGCCGAGTTACTTCCCGACACTTTAGCTACAATAAATGGCACCTTCAGCATAACACCATCTATGTCATCACCGTCCATCCAACCGGATGCTGTCCATAGGATAAATGAGAGGGCACCTTTGGCAACTCATGGGAAGTGACTCGGAGGAATTTGGTTAAGTTTTGAGCAAGCTATTACTTTGTACATTAGCAGTTAAATATTATGACTGATAGGTAATGGGACAATTTGGGAAGAAACCTTAGTGACTGAATATCGTGAGCCTATGGCACCGACAAGTAGCCATAGAGCCGAGACTCTTACTTTGAAAGAAGTAGTACCCCAAGAGGGCCTACTCAAGAATTGGTATGAGAGGTTTTCACTGGATAAGCTATTGGCTCGATCCAGAGCAAAAAACCCTATATATCCGATGGCCTTATGATGCATCAATATGCAACACAATGGCCGCGCTCATTCATCAAAGCTAATCACTTTATGTTTTGAGGCAGAACAAGTAGTATAGTTGCCATTAGGGTGGCATACTCAAATTAAGTTCATATAGTGGAGAGATCAAAGGCTACCTACTGGAGGAGCATTCACACCCTCCAGAAACAATAGAAGTCTGAAGAGATCAAAGCTAAGCAAGGCAAATATTCTCAGGGTCAAAAGTGTTCACACTTAGAGAATTTAAGAGGTTTTTGACGGAGGTACTTAGATTGTATGGGAGTTGATTGTAGCCCGTGATAACCCAGATGTGGAATATAAATATTGAGGTACTCTCAGCTATTAGAAACATCAAGCAATGGAGAAGAGATCTTATTAATATATTTATTATCTTACTCTTGAAAAAACCTTATTACAATTATTCTTTCCAAGTCATTGGAAAATACGAGCCTACCCTAACAATCTTCATTTTATCTTTACCTTACCTTATTTTGAGAAGCTTACAGCTTAGACCTACCAGCCCTATCTACAGTTGGACTACCCCATAACAGGATCCAAGAGGGTTGACCCACTTTTCCTTGACATTGGTAATTGAGTATGAGGGGGTACTACTCTGGAGCCTGTAAGTTCGACCCCCACACATCTCGAGATTGCATTTTTGTGTTCAACAAACTGGACACAAGCACTATGGACTGTGCGGCCAGTTCTATTGTTGCCATTGAAGTCCCAAAGACACCAGATCTTTGTCGAATCTCCATAACCTATCATCATGTATACTGATGATCTTGCTTTAAACTTAGTATCACTAGCTGCCCAAGGTCCATCTGGGATTCGATGATATGCAAGACAACCGAATCTCTGTAGATGCTGTAGTGATATTAGTGTTTTGGGAGAGAGGACCATAAGTGGAGATTTGCCCTCCAGAGCTGATATTGGTGACCGATGGTGAAGGTAGACTGAAGTATTTATTGCCTCTACCCAGAAGGTAATTAGGAGCTCGCTGTCAATTAATTGTGAGTGGGCATAGGAGTTAAGTGTCTGAATCATCCACTCAGAGACTCCATTCATACTCTGACTGTAAGGTGGAGATGGCTGGAAGATAATTCCTTTGCTTCAAAGAAGATTTTGGAAGAGGTTGTTTTCATATTCAGCTCATCCATTGTCGGAGCAAAAATGCTTCACAGAATACTGAGGATGTTGAGTACCAATGTAGCAGAGAACTTCTTTAAAGCATTTGGAGCATGCATCTGAGTTCTTTGATTTCAGGAAGAAGACGAACACAAAGTGAGTATAGTCATCCACAAAGATAAGAAAGTATCTTGCACCTCCATTTGAGGGAGGTAGGGAGCCACAGGTGTCAGAGTGGATCAACTCAAATAGACACTGTGCATGTTCTGCAAGGAGTTGATTCCAAGTTTTTCGCTACTTTGATAAGATGTAGGTCATGCAGGGGGAAGATTCGTTGGCCGCAAGCTCTGAACTGAGAGGTGATTTGGATTCTTTGGAGCATCTGATCAGTTGCTGTACTGCTACTGGATGTAGGTGGGTCAGCCTTCAGTGTCAAAGGTCCGCTGAAGCCTCCTCCCCATTGTGGGTATTCTGTGTATCCTTCTGCTCAGATGGATCAAAGAGACTTGCTGAGAGTGAGGAGGCACAATGAGCCTCAACTAGTAGT